TGTATGTGTATGTGCATGTTAGTGTGTGTGTGTATGTGTATGTGCATGTTAGTCTGTGTATGTGCATGTTAGTGTGTGTGTGTATGTGTATGTGCATGTTAGTGTGTGTGTGTATGTGTATGTGCATGTTAGTGTGTGTGTGTATGTGCATGTTAGTCTGTGTATGTGCATGTTAGTGTGTTAGTATGTGTATGTGCATGTTAGTGTGTATGTTAGTATGTGTATGTGCATGTTAGTGTGTGTGTGTGTATGTGCATGTTAGTGTGTATGTTAGTATGTGTATATGCATGTTAGTGTGTGTGTTAGTATGTGTATGTGCATGTTAGTGTGTGTGTGTATGTGTATGTGCATGTTAGCGTGTGTGTTAGTATGTGTATGTGCATGTTAGTGTGTGTGTGTGTATGTGTATGTGCATGTTAGTGTGTGTGTGTATGTGTATGTGCATGTTAGTGTGTGTGTGTATGTGTATGTGCATGTTAGTCTGTGTATGTGCATGTTAGTGTGTGTGTGTATGTGTATGTGCATGTTAGTGTGTGTATGCGCATGTTAGTGTGTGTATGTATGTGTATGTGCATGTTAGTGTGTGTGTGTATGTGTACAGTATGTGCATGTTAGTGTGTGTGTGTATGTGGACAGTATGTGTATGTTAGTGTGTGTGTTAGTATGTGTATGTGCATGTTAGTGTGTGTATGTGTGTGTGCATGTTAGTGTGTGTGTTAGTATGTGTGTGTGCATGTTAGTGTGTGTGTTAGTATGTGTATGTGCATGTTAGTGTGTGTGTGTATGTGTATGTGCATGTTAGTCTGTGTATGTGCATGTTAGTGTGTGTGTGTGTATGCGCATGTTAGTGTGTGTATGTATGTGTATGTGCATGTTAGTGTGTGTGTGTATGTGTACAGTATGTGCATGTTAGTGTGTGTGTTAGTATGTGTATGTGCATGTTAGTGTGTGTGTGTATGTGGACAGTATGTGTATGTTAGTGTGTGTGTTAGTATGTGTATGTGCATGTTAGTGTGTGTGTGTATGTGCATGTTAGTCTGTGTATGTGCATGTTAGTGTGTGTGTGTGTGTGTGTATGCGCATGTTAGTGTGTGTATGTATGTGTATGTGCATGTTAGTGTGTGTGTGTATGTGTACAGTATGTGCATGTTAGTGTGTGTGTTAGTATGTGTATGTGCATGTTAGTGTGTGTATGTGTGTGTGCATGTTAGTGTGTGTGTTAGTATGTGTGTGTGCATGTTAGTGTGTGTGTTAGTATGTGTATGTGCATGTTAGTGTGTGTGTTAGTATGTGTATGTGCATGTTAGTGTGTGTGTTAGTATGTGTATGTGCATGTTAGTGTGTGTGTTAGTATGTGTATGTGCATGTTAGTGTGTGTGTTAGTATGTGTATGTGCATGTTAGTGTGTGTGTTAGTATGTGTATGTGCATGTTAGTATGTGTATGTGCATGTTAGTATGTGTATGTGCATGTTAGTGTGTGTTAGTATGTGTATGTGTGTGTACGCCTGACTTCTATTATAGCCATCTTCAATACATCTAAACTTGTCTTTCAAAAGAACCAAAAACTAATATCCAACTTTTATTTAACTTATAAACTTTCTTTTGCTCTGTGTTTGAATCGTAGCTCATCGCGTCTGTTCCGTTCCTCCTGCACTTATGAATCGTTCATGTTTGTCTCAGATATTTACCACTTATTGTTTTGCAGTTTGTGCTGAATACACTTATAACAATAATAACAATGTTTCCATCAATAACTGTGTCTTTAGTCACAGCATCACAGTGAAATGAGTTGAAACGATGACTTTAGAACGGTCACATAAACCTACAGTAGAAACACATGTAATGATGTCAGTTTGGTTTGTTTTTGTTCTGAAGAGGAGAAAGTAGCAGCGTAAATGGGACCGCTTTGGTTCCTCAGGTTCTAAGGTTTGAATGGCCGGGTACTAATACACTAGTTAGCAATTAGGACATTATATTTAGAGGTTATTATCATGTATTTATATGATCTAGGCTAGGGTATTGCTTGTTTTAATTAGTTGTTTATTGTGCAGCACTTTAGAAACTGTGTTTATTAAAAGGGCTATATAAATAAAGTGGATTTGATTGAATAATAATCAAAGTCTCTGTAGAGATTTCTTGAAAAGGTATAAACGTCTGAAGAATAAACAGTTCTATTCAGCTCTGAGCAAAGCATTGGATCCAAGTAATGATTATGATACAAATATAAAACAGAACAAGACCATTTGGAGCCGCAGTTCTGTAGGCACACAATAAACCATCTCACACACATAAACACTGTGTTAGTGTGTATTAGTGTGTGTCAGTGTGTGTCAGTGTGTGTTAGCGTGTGTTAGAGTAAGTGTGTGTCAGTGTGTGCTAGTGTGTGTCAGTGTGTGTTAGCGTGTGTTAGTGTGTGTTAGAGTAAGTGTGTGTCAGTGTGTGTTAGCATGTGTTAGTGTGTGTTAGTGTGTGTTAACGTGTGTTAGAGTAAGTGTGTGTCAGTGTGTGCTAGTGTGTGTTAGTGTGTGTTAGTGTGTGTTAGTGTGTGTCAGTGTGTGTTAGCGTGTGTTAGAGTAAGTGTGTGTCAGTGTGTGCTAGTGTGTGTTAGTGTGTGTTAGTGTGTGTTAGCATGTGTTAGTGTGTGTTAGTGTGTGTTAGCGTGTGTTAGAGTAAGTGTGTGTCAGTGTGTGCTAGTGTGTGTTAGTGTGTGTTAGTGTGTGTCAGTGTGTGTTAGCGTGTGTTAGCGTGTGTTAGTAAGTGTGTGTGAGTGTGTGTTAGTGTGTGTTAGTGTGTGTTAGCGTGTGTTAGTGTGTGTTAGTGTGTGTTAGTGTGTGTCAGTGTGTGTTAGAGTAAGTGTGTGCCAGTGTGTGTTACCGTGTGTTAGTGTGTGTTAGTGTGTGTTAGTGTGTGTCAGTGTGTGTTAGCGTGTGTTAACGTGTGTTAGAGTAAGTGTGTGTCAGTGTGTGTTAGTGTGTAAGCGTGTGTTAGAGTAAGTGTGTGTCAGTGTGTGTGTTAGTGTGTGTTAGTGTGTGTTAGCATGTGTTAGTGCGCTCTGGGGCCCCGTCCTGGGTGTTTACAGTGCAGGTATAAGCCCATTGTTTGAAGCCAACGTTCTGTGTTTAGAAGTGTGGCCCCAGGCATTACTCAGAGCTGGTGCTAGAGTGGACTGAGGAGCCACACAAGACCCGGACGGTCCCAGCCGAGGGGCCCCGGTGGGTGGCCTGGCCTGACGGGACCTGGAACTGATGCTGCCATTTGTCAACATTTGGATATAGTCCATGTAGATAGAAAGATAGATTGATACTGTATTGATCCTCATAAGAGTAATGCATGTGTCCAGCAGCAGAAACACATCCACACAAACACAAACACATAAGTTCATCATTTATAAACATTTAAAACCAACAATAGTGCACGTGTTTAAACTCTGATCTGTTTCTCTTTGTTAAAACTGTCTGATAGTCCACTTGTAATGCTCTTTCCCATAGTCATCTTTGTCACATACGCTGCAACCAAAAGGTCAGCTTTGACAGTTTTGTCTCTTGGATCAAACTTTGTGGAAGGTTATGAGTTGTGTAGCATTACTGTGACAGGTCTCAGTTTGTGTTGCGGTTGTTCCCAGAGGCTGTGATGACCGATAAAAAGCTCATGTCTTTGTGCCGTTATCTGGAGCGCTCTGGACTGCATTCTCCACACACCACAGGTTTATCTGCTCCTGGAGCCTGGGGTCTGGGGTCTGGGGTCTTCACCGAGAGACTCTAGGATCTGTACTATTAAATAGCCTCGTCCAATTTAAACTATGAAATGAGTACTTAATAAGCTTTAAGTAGCAATATGTAAGATTTTCATGTAAAGTTTTCATTAAATGTCCCTAATCTGTCAAAAGGCATTAATAAACCATGCTCTTTTCAAATACTTCTTTAACTGATAACAGTAGTTCAGAGATATTCATATTTAAAAGTTGTATTTCCAGCTCCTAAATCTTGTTATTGTTTTCATTTCGATGTCCCTCTCTCCACGTTTCACCAATCAGAAAGTCCGTGATCCGTGATTGCCAGAACTCACTGCGTTGAACTAATCTCACTAGTAAAATAACATGTGGCCGCAGAACTAAAAAAGGTCCCGTTATGATTCTCAAATCATTAACGACAATGCAAGGGATAAAACCAGGATTTCTAGCTTTGTGGAAAAGGTGTTGTGTATAGATTTGTAGTTGTCAAAATTCTTGTCTATTAGGCTGTTATGCTCTTAGCTGGATTCATCTGCATATCTGGCAACCTGAGTCAGAGAGAGTGGGAGAGGTTGTAGTACTACTTTTGTCCAGATTTGTACATACTGCTCCTTTAGATGAAGTAATCCATCCATCCATTTTCTACCCTTTAATCCATTTCTGGGTCAGGGGGGTGGCAGTCAGAGATGCCACCCAAGTCTCATAGCACCACCCCCTCACTGACCCTCTGCAGGTGGTGAGTCCACAGGAGGACGGCTGCTCTCTGAGTGTGAGCATAGCCTTGATCTTTCAGTGGGGGCTTTTGGGCAAAGTGGGGTTAAGTGTCTTGCCCAAGGACACAACGACAGCAGTCATCAGTGGGAGTCGGTGGAGAAGGTGCAGAGGTGGGAATTGAACCCACGACCTTCTGGGCTTAAGGCCAATGCTCTACCAACTGAGCTACTGTCGCTGAAGTAATTTGTAGATGAAGTAATTTGTGACTTAATGTCATTCGACCGTATCTGAAGGCCTAACTATTGTTTTAAAAGGGAGAAAATCTCTGTCCATGACGTATAGTCTGATTGTTTGTGTAAACGAAGCATTGAAACAGAAGGGGTGGGGGGACGTGTTTATGCCGACTGTCCCAGAAGTTGCTGATATTAATCTGGATGGAGCTAAAACACAAGCCAGGCCTGTTTTTGATGTGGAGCAGTGTAAAAACATAATGAAATATCAAAAGAGATTTGAAACAAAGGTCAAAAGGAAAGCCTGAGATGAAAAGTTACTCACGAGGCATGCTTTCCTCTGTCTGCGCCTCTCTGCTTCTCCTCTGCTGAAGTCGGAACTGGAGCACTGGGGCGCAGGGCATGCAGGGAGAGCCCGGTCACAGCACACAGACACAGGGAGAGAGGACACACTCAGAATACGCGTCGCAACATTTACAAACACAACCTGGAGGTCTGAGAAGGAAATCAGGACATTTCACATGATTCTCACTGGATACAAATGCACAGGACACAGGGAGGGCGGGGGAATCGAGAACAGGTGATGAGCTGAAGACAACAGACAACGAGATATGAACTCAGAGACAAGGAGAAGATTCCACCAAGCAAAAATATATCTTTGTAAAATGTCCTCAAAGTTGCAACATGTAAGATTTTCATGTCAAGTCATCATAAAATGGCCCTAATCTGTCAAAAGGCATTCATAAAATATACTATTTTCCAATACTTCTTTAACTGATAACAGTAGTTCAGAGATATTAGAATTTCAAAATTAGTTTTACAGCCCCTAAATCTTGTTATTGTTTCGATTTTGATGTCCCACCCGCCATCGTTTTACCAATTAGAAAGGTCTGTGATCCGGGTTGCCAGAACTCCCCACGTCGAGCTAATCTCACTGGTAAAGTAACAAAAAAGGTCTCGTTATGATTCTGAAATAAACAAGGAAAAAAAACTGGATTTCTATCTTTGTTAAAAAGGTGTTGGTTATAGATTTGTTGTTGACTAAACTCTTGTCTATTCAGCTGTTATGGTCCCAGCTGAATTCGTCTGCATATCTGGCAACCTGAGTCAGTAAGAGTGGGAGAGGCTGCAGTACCACTTTTGGCCAGAACCTTTAACATTTTTGGGCTTAACCAGGAAAATGCAAAACAACATTTTTACAGAACTCCTTTCTGTCTAAACGTTCCTTGTTTTGAGGAACGATTTTGCCTTTTGCGAAAAACAATTTGCCTCCATTTGCGCAAAAGAGACCCTGCGTCTTGTTGCCGAGGCGTGTTCAGTGAAAACACTCAGCTTCCCTCATGAGCAGAAACATGTAAACCAAATGTTTTGTGGAATATAAATGAATAATTAAGACTGATTCATGCAAGGCCCTTACTTTATGTTGTTATTGAACTAAGCTCAGGCCTAATGCTCAACAATGAGAACTGTTGAGCCTCTACATGTCATTCTTCTGTAAATTAGTACATCCTGCAATCATGTGCAATGTGCAATACTGACAGAATGTTTCAGAATGTTCACTGAATGGCACTTTATCTACTTATTATCCTGCCCTATACAGTGTCTGACTTTACACTATATATAAAGATACATAGAAATATATCTATTTAATGATTTTGAAGCATTTACAGCTAGCTAAGAAACATAGCAGCTACTTATTTTGTATATTTTGTGTCCTCTTACTACTGTTCTGCATGTGCGCTGCAACATTGAAATTTCCCCACTAATCTCTTGTCTGTTTTTTCTCCTAATGGAAAAAGAGACAAGAACATGTGGATAACAGACATTGTTTTGCATTCTCTGAACCATAACCAGATTATATGGTTTTGAATGCATATAATGTCTGCAGTTAAAGCTGGACTAACACACTTTGTGATTTCGAAGCAACTGTATTTCAAATGTGAGCGCTGCCCTCGCTCTTTCTGCTCCCCGTCCCGCACTCACGAAGCTTTCGCCCCCCACTGCCCCCCTCCCCCTCAGCCTGTGCTCATGGGCTGTTGTTTATGGAGCTCACGTCTCACAGGATCGCACATTTGAACGTGGATGGCGTGACCATAGAATGACTGAACCGGGAAACGCGGAGAAATGACTTTCTTTTGGATGGCTGTTTCGCTGTGTAAGCAGAAACCGGTAACAACGACACGGGAAGCTTCAGGTTAGCCTCCGCCGCTTGTTTACGAGAGACCTGTGGCTTTTCTCAAGAAAGTGGGGGCCAGTGGTCCGCTGTGATTGGTCACAATCGGGACCCAAAACAAATTCTCTTCTGCGTTGCACAAAAACTCGATCTAAAATAAAAATACACTCCAGCACAAACCAGCGCTACTAATTCTTAAAAAGGATGTATATCCCAATGCACTGCATGGATATGGATTGAATTTTCGTAATGAATACAAAAAGACAATGAGGTAGTCCACCTTTAAGACTACATCAGGTGATACTTCTTTCTTTTTAGTGTCAGGACTGAGTTTGACCCTGGGCAGTGGTGCTGATTCCTAACACAACATGAGGGTTAAATGTTATGAAGATTTTCTATGCATGCTTTCACCTTTTAAATGAACTTGTTGCACCTTGAGCCAAAGAAAATTCCTAGTTTGTGACTTCCTGTTACTTACAACGGCAACAAAATAATTCTGATTCAGAATTATGAGACTAAACACAGTTCACTTAGTCTTGAGTCATCTCACAGTCCATGGCCTTACACCAAATTGATAAAGTTCAATTTGTACAGCACTAAATCACAACATAACAACATGCTTTGATCTTCTCGGCCTAGTCTTTCCGGCAGTGGTCTTGGTCTGTCTCTGTAGCCTCTTGTTTACCCCCCCCTCTCCTGTCCCCTCCCCCTTCTCTCCACAGACACTCCGGTATACAGTAAAAGATACGAGATTCGGCAAACTTATCCTTATCTCAAAGTCCCTGTGCCGTTCCAAGCATAGAGTCCTGTGTGGTCTGCTCTGTGCCTGTATGGGAGGGGGGTTTGTAAACAGCAGACCCCCCCCCCCCCCCCCCCCCCCCCCCACGTCTGCCTGTCCTGCGCTTATCATCGGCGCTCCCCCGTATGAAGTGTTCCCGCTCGTGCTAAGCGTCAGGTGCTTTGTGTTGGACGCCTGGATTCATCTGCACCGCCCCCCCCCCCCCCTCCCAGCTCCACCCTCTCCTCGACTTTTTCTTTCTTTCTCCATGTTTGAGAAGTACAAGATGTATGGATAAACAATGGATAAAAACAGATCTGGATTTGCGGAAGACCAACATCTTGTTTTGATAATGCATCGGCTTTAAAAAGTGTCATCATTCAGTCCATACACGGTGGTGATACACTACTAATGTAGCCACAACTGCCCTGGGGCACAATGACAGAAGCGAGGCAACCAGTATGTGCCATTGGCCCCTCTGACCCCACCAACCATTCACGCACATACTATACTCATTTGAGGCAGTGTGAGTGAAGTGTCTTGCCTAAGGACACAGCGACAGTTAGGCACTTCACAGCTGCAGTCACCCTACTGCAGCACCTGGTGTTCCATCTCCCAGAGGTCTCCCATCACAGAAACTAAGCCATGTCCTGCTTAGCTTCAGAGGTCTGACAGGATCTGGCTTTCACATGCAGGTATGACCACTAGCACCAGCAGCTAACATCACTCAGGCTAATGCTAATGCTATGCTTTTGTACTATTTTGATTCTCCTTTAAGTCTAATTGAAAACAGCTCTGTCCAGGTTTGTTTTTAGGTTTGTCTCAATTTGAAAAGAGCTAAAAAAAAAAGAAGCTACCTCTACTGTGTGTATTATTACATCAGTTTTATTGTTATTTTCTGCAAACCCATTTGAAGGACATGGGATGGACTTATATGGAAATTCATTAACCAATTATTATTATGTATTTTGTTGTATTTTCTTGTGTTGTAATTAGTTTTAGTTTTTAACGTCTGAGCGACAGCTGTTGTGTTTTTGGCCGATAAAACGGATCTGGATTTGTGAAAGACCCCATCTACTATTAGAAGAAGTGGAAAACTACATTGTGCTATTTTTATTCTCCTTTAAGTCTAATTGAAGCAGAAAGCAGCTCTTTATTTAAATACATTTAATTGTATTTAAAATGCATTAGATATGCATTTTAAATATAATCAGATGGCTGCAATGAATGACCCTTCAACGAACTAATAAAGATCTGTGATTCTACTCCCCCCCTTTCCCTCCCCTGGTCTCCCGACCCTCTCTCAGGCCCGAGTGTGTTTGAAGCCTCCACATTAGCATTAGCCTGAGTGCTGTTAGCTGCTGGTGTTAGTGCTCACCTCCATCATGTAACTGATCAGACAGAACACACATGCTTTGGTTTAGGGGAAGTGACCCCGTGCTCAGGCTGCTGTCACTCACACCAGAGGACACACTCTAGATCTGGTGTAACCGATACGGCCGCTGTCATTGTATCATTATTAGTGCGTGGAAGTTCAGCCGTGCAGCTTTGGTGTTGATGTAACAGATCGACACTAACATGCCGAAAATATGTGCCTAATCGACCTCACTGTACATCCGGTGTTGTGTCATTCTGCGTCTCTGCGGAGATTTCAGTCCCATTACATCATCTGTCATTTTTGCCTTCGCTCTGGAACTGTGGAAATGGACACACACATATCTTAGTCTGATGTTCCAATTCACTGCTCTCATTTGAAAACTTCTATCTTCCTGATTGTTAGTGAAATAGTGGAGAACTTTGATGAATTTTAGATCTTCAAAACTACAAGACAAAAGCAAACCTAAATTACAGGCCTTTTGAAAAGTTTTACATGAGCAAATGACAAGATCAATATGAAGTTATGTGGACGCTAAGGAATGCTTTATATCTTACATACAGATACAACTTTATCAAATTACAATTTAAGATTAAGATTAAAAGATCCTGTGTTCGTCCCACAGCGGGGAAATTTCAATGTTGCATCAAAAGTTACAGAACAGTAGGAATGAGGAGCACACAACGCAAGATAAGTAAACAATAGCTACACTAATCTAAATAAAATAAAATCTCTATCTCAAGCATCAAACAACAAGTATAAAATCGCTATCTTTAACATAATAAAGACAAACAAAATCTCTAAATTTGGTTATATGTTAGCAGCAGTATGTTTACATCTGTACATTTACATTGGATAGTGATTTCTGGGTCTCTCTGCTTGGACTGCTCCCTCCACAATCGGCCAACGGATAAAGCGGAGGAAAACGGAGGAATGGATGGATGACATTTATTAGATTTGTCTGCATTTGTAAAGGAAAGCCCAGACTAATGAGCTAAATAGGCTAAGTACCAATTGCAAGTAAGTAACTTGCAGTAACTTTCACATGTTAATAACACTGAGAGTCCATCTGTTATATACGGACATGGAGACAATTATTCCTCAGTCCACACAGGACAGTGCAGGTGCTGCTGTAGCCACAGCTGCCCTGGTCTAACATGAGGTGGACATGTTTCTATTGTTGATTAAGTGACAATTGAGCCAGTTTGAACTCAGTTTTTTGATTGAAACATGAATGCAGACGAGGCTAGTTAGTGCAATAATATCACAGTATTCACATTTCAGTTTAGCCCTCACTATATAACATCTAATTAAGTGGTAATTACTGTATAATTTAAGGTTAATTTGTTTTACATCGATTAAACAAGCACGTATTAGTCCTTACAGTATACTACATCCAACACAATAGAAACTGATACTTTCCTATGTGGGTTAAGTTAAGGGTTAGCGTTATTGTACACTAATTAGTACTTAATTAGCTGTTATTTTGTAAGGGATAAAGTGTTACCAAATATTTCCATAACATATTTTTTTTACCCTTGGTATTTAAAGCGTCTTTTCAATTAACTTACCCACTGAGAATATAGACAAATTTTAACAATACCAAAAATATATAGATAATATCAGACACATTATTGTTCTGATACATATTCAGAATGAAATAGCATGTGCTGTCATTCCAAAGTCTCCCTCGCCCCACGGTCTGCTCAGTTTGCCTCCTCTCCCCTGCTTGAAACTCGGAACACTTTGGCTGTCCGACCACACAGCTCACATTGACACTTATTTAAACGTATGGCACAAACACTGGGCCCAAAACGTCCACTTTGACCAAACTATTAGTGAGCAGGTGAGGATAATTACAACACAGAATGATTGAGGGACCTCCCACGGGTTAGAACACTCTCAGAATTGCACCCAAAGCTCTTTTCAGTGCCCTCTCACCGGGACTTTGTAGCACAGATTCAGAATAGAGCATTATGTAACGGGGAGAGGACGTGTTTGCATAATGTAGCAATTAAAGTGAAAGTAATATCAGAAAGAAAACGTTTGAGAAAGTCAAGAAATACTAAAGACTTAGAGAGGAGCTGGAGAGAGTCTTGAGGTTCAGGATACAGTAGTGAGAGAGTCTGAAGGTAAAGGTGACAGTAGTGAGAGGGTCTGAAGGTAAAGGATACAGTAGTGAGAGAGTCTGAAGGTAAAGGAGACAGTAGTGAGAGAGTCTGAAGGTAAAGGAGACAGTAGTGAGAGAGTCTGAAGGTAAAGGAGACAGTAGTGAGAGAGTCTGAAGGTAAATGTGACAGTAGTGAGAGAGTCTGAAGGTAAAGGAGACAGTAGTGAGAGAGTCTGAAGGTAAAGGAGACAGTAGTGAGAGAGTCTGAAGGTAAAGAAGACAGTAGTGAGAGAGTCTGAAGGTAAAGGAGACAGTAGTGAGAGAGTCTGAAGGTAAAGGAGACAGTAGTGAGAGAGTCTGAAGGTAAAGGAGACAGTAGTGAGAGAGTCTGAAGGTAAAGGTGACAGTAGTGAGAGAGTCTGAAGGTAAAGGAGACAGTAGTGAGAGAGTCTGAGGGTAAAGGAGACAGTAGTGAGAGAGTCTGAAGGTAAAGGAGACAGTAGTGAGAGAGTCTGAAGGTAAAGGAGACAGTAGTGAGAGAGTCTGAAAGTAAAGGAGACAGTGGAGAGAGAGTCTGAAGGTAAAGGAGACAGTGGTGAGAGAGTCTGAAGGTAAAGGAGACAGTAGTGAGAGAGTCTGAAGGTAAAGGAGACAGTAGTGAGAGAGTCTGAAAGTAAAGGAGACAGTGGAGAGAGAGTCTGAAGGTAAAGGAGACAGTGGTGAGAGAGTCTGAAGGTAAAGGAGACAGTAGTGAGAGAGTCTGAAGGTAAAGGAGACAGTAGTGAGAGAGTCTGAAGGTAAAGGAGACAGTAGTGAGAGAGTCTGAAGGTAAAGGTGACAGTAGTGAGAGAGTCTGAAGGTAAAGGAGACAGTAGTGAGAGTCTGAAGGTAAAGGAGACAGTAGTGAGAGAGTCTGAAGGTTTAGGAGACAGTAGTGAGAGAGTCTGAAGGTAAAGGAGACAGTAGTGAGAGTCTGAAGGTAAAGGAGACAGTAGTGAGAGTCTGAAGGTAAAGGAGACAGTAGTGAGAGAGTCTGAAGGTAAAGGAGACAGTAGTGAGAGACTCTGAAGGTAAAGGTGACAGTAGTGAGAGAGTCTGAAGGTAAAGGAGAGAGTAGTGAGAGAGTCTGAAGGTAAAGGAGACAGTAGTGAGAGAGTAGTGAGAGAGTCTGAAGGTAAAGGAGACAGTAGTGAGAGTCTGAAGGTAAAGGAGACAGTAGTGAGAGTCTGAAGGTAAAGGAGACAGTAGTGAGAGTCTGAAGGTAAAGGAGACAGTAGTGCCCGTGGTGATTGAAGCCCTCTGAGCTAATAAAACTGTTTCATTCAAGAAAAATAATGTTTTTGTCTTGTTTTTCCCTGGTGTCATCCTGGTCAGCTGTGACGCACACAGCACCACATACTCAGCCATCATTCATGGATGAAACATGTGAGCTCACATTACCAAAGGCCACAGACATCAAAGGTGTGGAGACAAATCGCTTTAGTCCAAATAGTTACTCACCTGGAAGGAAAATAGATACAGGAAAGGTGAGTTTGTGAGAAATGGGTTTTGTTCTTTGAGTTGATTTTCAAAAGGGAATCGTTGGATAAACTATGATCACCATGGAATTCATCATGAGTACGAAAACATTAGAACTTTTTCGTTTTCTCCATTTGTTTGAGATTTTCCCCTGATTTTCCCCTGTCCAAAAACATTATCTCATTCTTTATACATTCTCATTCTTCTATTTTCTCCCCAATTTGAGCTAAATGTTAGAATCAGATCAAACATTAGTATAAATTAGTTATAAATAAGTATGTTCCAACAGATTATTTAACTATACAGTATCTTATTACATTCTCAAATGTTAGAATATATTAACATATCACTGTCCATTACCGCTGCATTGACAATCAGTTCAGTGGCCATGGTTTTTGACACGTGTCACACTACTAAAAGAAAAAGCCCTTGTCCTTATCCGTGGGTGTCTTTGGGATGGGTGTCTTTGGGATGGGTGTCTTTGGGATGGGTGTCTTTGGGATGGGTGTCTTTGGGATGGGTGTCTTTGGGATGGGTCTCTTTGGGATGGGGGTCTTTGGGATGGGTCTCTTTGGGATGGGGGTCTTTGGGATGGGTCTCTTTGGGATGGGTGTCTTTGGGATGGGGGTCCTGGAGCATCCTGGGGCAGATCAACACTGGATTGGAAGCACTTCAGTGGGATGTGAAAATATGAATGTTCTGATTAATGAGCCACATTTCTGCATATTTATGAAAATTCCAAAACTCTCAGACGTCTCGCACTGAACAACTCAATTATTCATTTTCTTTTGTTTCCAACATGAAAGCACACAAGCATCAGACAAACACACATTTTTAACTCAGGCATTGATATTTCACTTTGAAATATGAAGCGTTTGAAAATATATAATTTGTTAAATAAGTAAAAATACTCTCGATAATGCATTGGTTTTATACAGCGCTTTTCAAAGTCACATGTCATTATTCTTTCACTCCAAACACGGTAGTGATAACTACTACTGTAGCCACAGCTGCCCTGGGGCACACTGACAGAAGCGAGGCAACCTGTATGTGACCCTCAGCCATTCGTAAACATAGCAGACCAGTAGGGGTTGGTCCTGGCTCCAAAAGGTCCATGATCAATGAGCATGTGCGCTGACATGCTGCAATACCACTCCGAGTCTGTGGGGGTGTACCCAGAAAGAGAACGCTTTTTGTCTTCTTTCTTCTCAAAAACTACTTTCGTTTTTGGTCCAAAAGTCACTCTAGGCCCAACTTCCAGATGCTGTCAATGCTGAGGGAAGTATATTTTTTTGGGACCAGTATAGATTAGCCACTGTGGACTTTTGAATGCACTTTTTTTTTCCTGCGGGAGGGGCCATTTTAAAAACGTCCCAAAGAAGGCGAAATTGATGGCACCTTAGTTTCAACGGCGGAGACAGGCATGACTAAGTTCGTTGATATTTACAGTCTATGCAGCAGTAGTTTGGCACTTAACAGCGGCACAGCTTCAGAGTTCTGACAGGGCCTGCTTTATCCCTCTGCTTCCACCAGAGGGAGCACCTTTTGATTTTCATCAACAAACACGATCAGTTTCTGTTATTAGCATGGATGGATCTAAACACAAGTCCAGGTCTGTGACTGATGAGGAACACTGTTGTAACATAACTAGAAAATAGAAATGACTCAAACATGCACGAGTCACAATCACAGACACAAGCTGAACATGTCTCTTCTAAACTTTACCCAATAATAATTGGTTTGACAGAGCGCTTCTCTGGACGCTCAAAGACCCTTCTTCATTATTCATTCTCAGTGGTGATAAACTATTGCTGTAGCCTGAGCGAAGTGTCTTGCCCAAGGACACAACATCAGTTGTGCAACCACTGCATTCCCACTGTGGCATCTGGTGTCCCCAGAGGTCTCCCATAACAGCACTAACCAGGCCCTGCCTTCCTTATCCCAGATTCACACCTTTACACAGAGCTGTGAAATAGTCAGAACAAACAAACCTCAGACCATCCCCTCGACCACAGTCCAGACCTGCATCTGTCTTTGAGCTGTTTGATTTTCTAATCTGTGAATCAACAACTGTGGAAAGTCCAGACAACTGCTCATTTAGGCCATACACAAATGAACTGACATCAATGGGAGCAGATGATTAGTCTGATAAAATTAAAATAACATTCTATACTTTCGCTCCAATGGATTTCTCTGTTTGTCCTCTTCTCTGTTGTATAGTGTGTGTCCTCTGCTGTGTAGTGTGTGTATATCCTCTGTTGTGTAGTGTGTGTCCTCTGCTGTGTAGTGTGTGTATATCCTCTGTTGTGCAGTGTGTGTCCTCTGCTGTGTAGTGTGTGTATATCCTCTGTTGTGTAGTGTGTGTCCTCTGCTGTGTAGTGTGTCTTCTGTTGTGTATTGTGTGTCCTCTGTTGTGTGCGTGTCTCCTCTGCTGTGCAGTGTGTGTGTCCTTTGCTGTGTAGTGTGTGTGACGTGTGTGTGTCCTCTGCTGTGTAGTGTGTGTGACGTGTGTGTCCTCTGTCGTGTAGTGTGTGTGTCCTCTGTTGTGTTGTGTGTGTGACATGTGTGTGTAGTAGTCTTTGAGAATGCATCGTGTTCGACTGTTGATGAACTGTTTAACTCTGTCACCTCTAGTGTTCTGAATGTTCTGGACACCATCGCCCCTGTGAAGGTTAAAGTGGTGCTAGAATTTAATATGCTGCTATCCAGAATATATAACTACAATATGTGTTTGTAATATTCCGGGTGTTCATTTTGACATGTTCAGATGAATTATGTTAAAAAAACAGCTTTGAAGTTGCACTTTTTCACTTTCGCATAGAAACACTAGGGGGCGCCAAAATGGCGGCGATGACGTAGGAGAATGACCTCTCACAGCAGCAGCAGTCTGGGCTGAATCTGTAGGAGGTTTCACTGTCATCTGAACAAGGTATAAACATATTTTCATCCGGTTTGTACATAATAGTGTGCAACTTTTTTAACCTTTTAGCCTTATTTGTGAGATTCAAGCTAACTAGTGTTGGGCAAGTTAGCTAACTCTACGTGATATCATAAAACATGCTAACAAGGCTAATATTCGTTTTTACATTATGCCAGTCGCACTCTGGTTGCCTTAGATTTATTTACCACAATGTACATTGTAATATCCATAAATGCTAATCAAAATAACTTGAATCAAATAAATATTTTACTTTTATGAACAAAAAGCAGCTGAAGTTGAAAACAGACACAAGAGCTAACATGATAACTACATGTGATGCAATCATTGATAAAAATGCTAATGAAACCGTTAATAGGTGTTAGCATTTATGGATATTACAAAGTACATTGTGGTAAATAAATCTAAGGCAACCAAAGTGAGACTGGCATAATGTAAAAACGAATATTAGCCTTGTTAGCATGTTTTATGATATCAAGTAGAGTTAGCTAACTTACCCAACACTAATTAGCTTGAATCTCACAAATTAGGCTAAAAGATTAAAAGAGTTGCACACTGTTATGTACAAAACTGATGAAAATATGTTTATACCTTGTTCAGATGACAGTGAAACCTCCTACAGATTCAGCCCAGACTCTGCTGCTGCTGTGAGAGGTCACTCTCCTACGTCATCGCCGCCATTTTGGCTCCCCCTAGCGTTTGTTAAAAGGTGCCACTTCAAAGGCGTTTTTTTAACATAATTCATCTGAACATGTCAAAATGAACACCCGAAATATTATACACACATATTGTAGTTATATATTCTGGATAGCAGCATATTAAATTCTAGTACTACTTTAAAATAGTGAAAAATAAGCAGAAGGCGCCGTGGGCTAAAGCAGACTCGGTCAGAGCACTGAAGAGAAAGTGCCGGAGGGCCGAGCGGAAGTGGCGCAAGTCCAACCTCCAGGTTGATTACGAGATCTTCAAAGATAAGTTGTGCGAGTTTAACCGGGTGCTACGTAGTACGAGAGAAAGGTATTTTTCTGAAATGATTGAAGGCTGCAGTAACAATCTGCGTGTTCTGTTTTCAACAGTTAATAGATTAACAGACCCCCCTGTTCAAATGCCATTAGAGCTTACTTCCAAACGTAAATGTAATGAGTTTGCACATTTTTTCAATGACAAGGTTCAAGGCATCAAAAACGCCATTGTCTCCAATCCACAGATAACAATCCAACAGCCTAAAAGGCTCTCTGAGCTAACTTACTTTGCACTTGTAGATGATCAAACTGTCCAAGAGATAATCTCCAGTCTGAGCGCCTCCACATGTAGCCTGGATGTACTACCCACTAGATTTCTGAAGTCTGTTCTGAGCAGTCTGTTACCTTCACTCACACAGATAGTAAACATGTCCCTTAATTCTGGAATATTCCCAAAGGCCCTGAAAACTGCAGTCATCAGGCCCCTGCTAAAAAAGAGCAGTCTCGATGCTACGGTACTTAACAACTATCGTCCCATCTCAAATCTGCCATTTATGGGGAACGTTGAAAAAGTTGTCTACCTACAGCTTACTAGATTTCTTATAATCAACAACTCATTTGATATGTTTCAGTCCGGCTTTAGACCCCACCACAGCACTGAGACTGCTCTCGTCAAGGTTACAAACGATATCCGGCTGAACACTGACACAGGCAAAGTCTCAATCCTAATCCTGTTAGATCTAAGTGCTGCCTTTGACACTGTCGACCATGAGATCCTCTTACAGAGACTAGAGGACTGAGTTGGCGTCGCTGGTACCGCCTTAAGTTGGTTTAGGTCTTACCTTGAAGACAGGAAGTACTTTGTGGAGATTGGAAACTGTGTCTCAGATCATATGGCCCTGACCTGTGGAGTCCCACAGGGGTCAATCCTGGGACCTCTTCTGTTCAATCTCTACATGCTGCCGTTAGGTCAGTTAATACGCAGAAACAAAGTGTCCTATCACAACTATGCAGACGACACTCAGATCTATGTCTCACTGACTGCAGGAGAACATGGACCAGTGGACTCACTCCTTCACTGTATCCAACAGATCAGTGAGTGGATGCAAAACAACTTCCTTCAGCTAAACGCAGACAAAACTGAAATGATTGTCTTTGGTCCCCAGAAACAAAGAGAGAGCGTCATCTGTCGCCTCCAGTCTCTCTCCCTAAAACCTTCAAACAAGGTCAGAAATCAAGGGGTAATACTGGACTCAGACTTAAATTTTAATAGCCACATCAAATCAGTAACATCAGCAGCTTTTTACCATCTAAAAAACATTGCCAGGATCAAAAACATAGTGTCTAAAGCAGACTTGGAGATTCTTATCCATGCATTTGTCTCCAGTAGGTTAGACTACTGCAATGGCCTGCTCACAGGTCTGTCCAAACAGGCTGTAAAACAGCTGCAGTACATTCAAAATGCAGCAGCTCGAGTCCTGACTAGAACCAGGAAGTACGACCACATTAGTCCAGTTCTCAGGTCTCTGCACTGGCTTCCTGTGGCTCAGAGAATAGACTTTAAAACAGCTCTGCTTGTGTACAAGTCTCTCCATGGCCTCGCACCAAAACATATTAGTGACATGTTAGTCCCATATGAACCAGCCCGGACTCTGAGGAGCACAGGGACTGGACTCCTGTTAGTGCCCAGAGTCAGAACTAAACATGGGGAGGCTGCTTTTCAGATTCATGCTGCTAAAATCTGGAACAGTCTTCCCGAAGATGTGAGACAGGCCTCCTCTCTGACAATGTTTAAAACCAGGTTAAAGACAGTTCTGTTTAGCTGTGCATACAACTGAGGGATTTTATATTTTTATCTTTCTTTTTAATGTACTGTAATTATTTATGATTTTAATGCTATTTTGTTTTGTTCAGCACTTTGAGTTGCCTTGTGTATGAATTGTGCTATACTAATAAAATTGACTTGCCTTGCCTTGTGTGTGTGTGTCCTCTGCTGTGTAGTGTGTGTGACATGTGTGTATGGCAGCAGCCAGAGCTGCAGTCTCAGCTGTGTCCTGTGGACAAATGAATGGTCCCAAACAGACGGTGATGGTCTCGGTGCAGACCTGACGTCTGCAGAGGCCTGAGCTCTCTGTAGTTTATTTTCTCTGTAGTTTATTTTCCCGAGCTGAGGTTGATAGAGCTTTTGGTTTCTCACATAAAGTCACTTAACTGTTATGTTCCACATCTCTGTCTCCAACAATCTCTAAATAATGTGAGTCTGTCCATCTGTAAAATGTACTTTTGTCCGACATAGAGCCTGTTTCTGCTTCAGCTTCAGCCGTCTTCTTCCAGAGGAAAAATGAAAAACCCTTCTCGATGGCTACTCTTGGTGCAGATTTGTTCTCTACTGATCTCTCGCAGGCACAGTATAAAAACAAAACACTATTTAATTTCAGGTTGAAATGTTTTAAACTCATGATCTACATCCAGGGAAGTAGAGACATATTTTTGACAGGGCTTTGGACTTAAAGGAGACATTGATCAGGAGTTGTTTTTAGAACCATCCACGCCATCATCATCACATGTAGCTCCGCCCCTTCTTTAAAAAAATCTCCTGTCTCATTCCTGTGATGTACGATTTCATTCTACCACTATGACATCACACTCGTTTTGGTAATTCCTCAAGTGAAAATACACAATGACACGGCTGTGTTTGGAGCAGATCATTTTGGGAAAAAAACCCCCAAAAAACCAAAACACTAAACTCATCCCTCTGGTGGCAGCATTGGGAGTTACAGGCAGAAAGCATTTTTTTTATCCTTCATACTTGTTTCACCATAGAACATTTAGTACGAGTCTGGTGTATGTGTGAATGGTTGTTGGTGGTGAGAGGGGTCAATGCCAGACATACAGTAGGTTGCCTCACTTCAGTCAGTGTGCCCCAGGGCAGCTGTGGCTACAGCAGTAGTTTATCACCACAGTGTATGGAGAGCAAGATGGATGAATCTTCTTTGAGTGTCCATAAAAGCACTATAAAAAACCGATGCATTAGTAAATTTTCTACCAAAGACATAATTTCACAATTGAAAACAACAAATGACAAAGTAACGGCCAAAAATATTGCTTCATATTTCTTCTTTAACATTTGGCAGTTTCCGAGTAAAAATTTGACTTTCTCCCCTCCCCAAAGCAGCTGTATGATTGACACGCGCAAACTCCCCACAGCTGCGGCCCGTTAGCTTCTGTCCATCCGCTCATCCAGAGATCCAGCCGTCGCACCCGCACAAAGATAACCCCTCGACCCCGCTGGCGGCCCTAATCCCCCCCTTTTCGCCCCCTTGTTTTTTTCCCACAACGAAACAAGTGTATAGCAACCTGCCTCCACATCACATGGCCACTTCAAAGACCCGGCCAATCCTCCGCCAGGATCAGCGATGCAAGAGCGGCGTGGCTCAGTGTGTTTGATGGCCCACGGGGAATCTGAGGACTCAACCTGGACTTAACTTGGTTTCAGAGAGGACTTAAATAATCCCAGACCAAGCCAGGACTGAACCAGATCTGAACAGGGTCTGAACCAGGTCTGCCATGATTTTAAAAAGCAAATATTCCGCCTTAAGAGACCGTTTATTCCTCCCACGGCGGGGAAATGTCAGTGTTGTATCACCAGTTAGCATAATAAAGTCTAAAATCTCTAACTTTAGCATAATAAAGGAGCTTAAACACTTTTTTTATGCTTGGAAAGACATTGCGCTTAATGTAAACACGAGTTTGTGTGATATCGACGGCGCCATCTACTGGATCAATGATGAGATGAAAAACCAGAGGCTAAACTGGATCCAGTGCTTTGTCTGTTGTCAGTCTTAAAGCTGGGGCGTGTAAGTTCAAAGCCACTATCAAACTAGTTCCTGGCTTTAAAGCAGTTTGGTTCAATCTCGCGTCTCCACGTCACATGCATCTTCGGCCTCTGTCACATTTTTAGACCAACTTTTTCAGACAGAGAAGTGAAAAAGACGGGACCACCCTCTCTCAGCCAATCAGCTCTCAGCTCAAAGAGTCAAACAGTAATAATAATGCATCAGTTTTATACAGCGATTTTCTACTACACCAAACTCCTACAGTAGCCACGGCTGCCCTGGGGCATACTGACAGAAGCGAGGCAACCAGTCTGTGCCATCAGCCCCTCCCACCACCACCAACCATTCACACACACACCAGACTCATTATAATGGGGGTGAAGTGTCTTGCCTAAGGACACAGCGACAGTCTGGCACTTTACAGCCGCAGTCGTCCCACTGTGGCACCTTTCTAAGAGGTCTCCCATTGTAGCACTAACCAGGCCCTGTCATGCTTAGCTTCTGAGATCTTACAGGATCTGGCTTTCACCTGCAAGATTGACTCACAAGTCTGGAAAAGATAAGATCCAGTTGAGATGAAGACGACAGGTTCTGATTGGATTTGTTCCGGACATTTTTCTTTTACATAACTCTTTCTTCTTTCCATGTTTCTATGTTTTCTATGTTTTATGAAAAAAGTTAGGTCCCTCAGCTTTAAAACTAAAAGAATTACCAATGGAAAAGCAAACATGTGACCAACAGACCTGTACAGTGTGTAAGCGAGTACTGCCTCATTCATGAAGAACCATAAGCAGTGCGAGCTTCTTTACAATCTTGAATTATTATTATTTTTAGCACCGACTGACTTTGTACATGTATTTGTGTGTATTCTTGTACTGTTTTATCTTTTCATCTTTTGTGCCTGTGAACTTTGGGCAGCTGGTGTCCAAAGTTGTAAATTTGCTGTACAAATAAATCGGACCTTGACATACGACGAGAATCTTCTGAGCCTCAAACTTAGAAAGACTTAAATGAACTTTATACATTTGATTGATGGAGATACGGAGATGAATCTGTCTTTTCATGTGGAGCCAGTGACTGTAAGCTACCAGTCAGATCTGCAGAGACGCACACGCACACACACACACGCACACACACCACACACACACAACACTCTGTTCTGAATCTGACTGGTGTGTTTATGTCACAGACTCGGACACACAAACACACACACACACACACACACAGACAGGCATGGAATATTCAGATGAGCCCTGGTACGACAAGAATGCAACACACAAGTACGACAAAACAACACATAAGCACAACGATACAACAATTGCAGCGCAGAGAAACGGACCAGAACTGTGGCGGTCCGGACTATGGGATGGAGAACAAATGACTCCCTTAAATTTTAGTTTTAAATATTATTTGTCTTATTCAAAGGAGAGCATCATATTTTATTTCATAGTTATTCTTTATCATTATCATGTTTTCCACTGAGGTCTATAACGGCAAAATCATCCTAGTAAATTGTAAAATGAATGTTCGTGACTAAAAATGGTGATTATAAGGGGGAAAAAAGACACAATAACAGTCAAAATCATTTTCAACTGAGTCAAATGTTGAATATGTGTAAATGTAGCCACAAAGACACAAGTGTATACACAAATAACCTTTAATGTGTGTGTTTGTGTGTGTGTGTCGATATATACATCAATTAGTGTGTGTGTGTCTACATAGAAAACATTTATTGTGTGTGTGTGTGTGACTATACCTATACAACATTTAGTGTGTATGTGCGTGAACATACACATCAATTAGTGTGTGTGTGTGTCTACATAGAAAACCTTTAGTGTGTGTGTGTGTGTGTGTGACTACATATACAGTACATCAATTAGTGTGTGTCTACATAGAAAACATGTAGTGTGTGTGACTACATATACAACATTTAGTGTGTATGTATGTGTGTGTATGAACATATACATCTATGAGTGTGTGTGTGTGTCTATATATACATCAATTAGTGTGTGTGTGCGTGTCTACATGTATATCAATTAGTGTGTGTGTGCGTGTCTACATATGTATCAATTAAAGTGTGTGTGTATGTTTGTGTGTGCGTGAACATATACATCAATTAGTGTGTGTGTGTCTACATATGTATCAATTATTTTACGTGCGTCTGTGTGTGTCTACATATAAAACATTAAGTGTGTTTACTTTCCTTGTTGTTTTCCATGTATCTGTCTGAAACACAGCTTCAATGAATGATATATATTTTTAAATCATTGAATGAACGTGCACTTTCTTTTCCCACAAATATATTTTTTTTATTAAACAATTCCAGAAAAAAAATGTTTGGTGTAAGTTGTTTTTATCGTGAAAAATGTCTCTGGGCCTTTTCTAAGTCATATTAAAACTAAAGTAATGTTGTGCCACTTTTCTGCACCACTTCGACTTCGTTTTGAAACAGAAAACGGCTAAACATTTATAAAACCTCCTAATTCTAAAAAAATAAATCATGAATAAAGTTCTTACCGGATCGGAACTTGCTGCGAATGAGACTGGAGTGTTCGGATCCCAGCAGAGTCATAATGGAAAAGTCCCAGAATCAAAACTTCACTCCACAATATCAATACAAGCTGCTAACTGATTTTCATTCTTTTTCTAATATCAATAAAAATATTAAAAATCTGAAAATTGTTTTTTAGATTTTTCTTGCGATAACAATTTCTCAAATCATGATCTTGGTTCAATATTAGTTTGAGAATCAATCAGCATCCAATTTCTCCAAATATCTCGGTCGTTGCTGAAGTAATTTTCGGGCTGCACAAAAAATGCATTGATGCGATTAGAGATTTAAGTTTTGGAACAAGCTCGTTCACAAAAGACTAAGTGCAAAACAAACGGAAAAAGTTTGTCATAAATGTCCAAAATCCTTCTCCCCTGTGGCCCTGCTCTGCTCTGGGTCCTCTCCTCTTCATCCACTGCTCCTCTCTCTGTGTTCTCTCCTCACTGCTGCAGAGAAGTGAGCGTCCCGGGACCCCGTGCTCATATGCCCCTGGAAAGGCGGAGCGTAGGGGGTCCCCCATCCAGAATTAGGCCGTCCCCTGCACGGGCCCCAGGGTAAACATAAGAGCCTATCGGGACGCAGGAGGGAGGGATCGCTGTGTCGTAAAGTCTGTTCAAGTCTAATCTCTGAGCTACAGAGAAAGAATAGACTTTAAAACAGTGAAGTCTCTCCAGGGCCTCGCACCAAAGTACATCTGTGTTTGTTAGTGCCAACTTTGAGGAGCACAGGGACTGGCCTCCTTCTGGGACTCTGAGGAGCACAGGGACTGGCCTCCTGCTGGTCCCAGAGTTAGGACTAAACACGGGGAGTCTAAATTTCACATTCACACATTCACTGAAATATGGAACAGTCCTCCTGAAAATGAGACAGGCCTCTTCTCTGACAATGTTCAAATCCAGGTTGAAAACAGTTCTGGGGGTTTTTATCTTCACTCTTTTTAATGTACTGAGATTTTTCGTGTTTTGAATGCTTTATGTGATTGTTTCTATCTTCACTCAAGTACATATTCAGTGGTTGATACTGCAGTGGCGTGTCATGTTAGAAAATAAAACTGTCTGTATTTGTGTCTCTTACACATGATCAAGTGAGTTGATTCATTGAGACTAACACAGAATTGAAATAGATTAAGAAGTTTTTGAAACTTTGTAACGAAGCTGAGAAGATGTTTCATGTTAAAAAGTCTATAATAATGGATAATGAAATTCAACAATTACACAATTATACCCCCACATCACAACAAGAACTCTCCTCTGAGACGTGAGTTCTTCAAATTGGAGTAAATGTCTTTGTCCCATTCGCAAATCTCGTTTTTCATCTATTTTCTTCCCCTTAATCCATTTTTGGGTTGGGGGGGTGGCAGTCAAAGCTGCACCCATTACACATAGCACCAGCCCCTCACTGATCCTCATGCAGGTGTTGAGTCCACAGGAGTTGAGATCTTTCAGTGGGAGCTTCAGGCAAAGTGGGGTTAAGTGTCTTGCCCAAGGACACAACGACAGCAGTCATCAGTGGGAGTCGTGAAGTAGGTCTTATGGTGGGCTTGAACCCACGACCTTCAGGCCCAAAGGCCAATGCTCTACCAACTGCGCTACTGTATTTTCTGTATTTTTTTCTGTATTTTATTTATTTAAAAAGGGACAGTGTACAATTAGAACATAAATGCCTCCATTTGATGCATTGTACCGGAGTTAGCCTTAGGCTAATTTGCATCCGTAGTCCCCCGGGGGACTACGGAGACTACGGAGATTTGACACTGTCGAGTCAAATCTCATTTTAAGACAGTCAAATGATAATAAACAATTAATTTCCTTTGGGTCCTGGTGCAAACAAGTTACAAAAGTAAAATACATATAAGTGCAGGCTACAAGTGACAGTATAAGATGGCAGCCGTAAAGGGCATGGGTGAGTCATGAAGTGTTCATGAGTCCAACTGCAGGAGGAAAGAAACTGTTATGGCAAGAGGTTCTGGTCCGGATGGAGTGGAGAGGGGAGAGGTTGGAATAGTCAATATGGGTCTCGAGCTCAGGCGACGTACATGTGGTCCTGTGCTCTTCCTGAAG